CGCCAAGGACGATATAATCACGTAACGCCTCGACACTATCTTGACTTGTAAGTCATAGTTGTACTCGTAATGTGCGGAGAGCTAATTCCCGCTTTATTCTCCCAGCATTAACCAGTATGTCCGACTGTTCGGAGAGAAGCGCGACGAGCTGGAGGATCAGCAGAGGCATCTTCACGTGGGATTGGACAAACTTCGAGATACAGTCACACAAGTAGAAGAGCTGCGCAAGAGCCTCGCCTCCAAGCGTGCGGAGCTACAGGCCAAGGACGCTGAAGCCAACGAAAAGTTGAAGCGTATGGTCACCGATCAACAGGATGCTGAGTCCAAGAAGGCAATGTCTATCCAGATCCAGGCGGCTCTCGTTGAGCAGGATCGGGCCATCGATGAACGTCGTTCGGTTGTCTTACGTGATCTTGCTGAAGCGGAGCCTGCAGTCCTCGAGGCCCAAGCAGCCGTACGAAACATCAAGCGCCAGCACCTCACTGAAGTTAGGGGTATGGCCAATCCACCAGAAGCGGTGAAGCTCACCATGGAGTCGGTCTGTATCATGCTCGGGAACAAGGTTGACAGTTGGAAAACAGTCCAAGGAATTATTCGTCGCGATGACTTCATCAATAGTATCGTCAACTTCGACACCAATCGCCAGATGACGAAGCCGCTTCGTGACCTGATGAAGAGGGAGTATCTCAGCCGACCGATCTTCAACTTCGAGAACGTCAATCGGGCGAGTAAGGCCTGCGGTCCTCTAGCGAAGTGGGCGATAGCTCAGGTCCGATTTTCTGAGATCCTGGACAGCGTAGAGCCCCTTCGCAACGAAGTCCAGTCTCTAGAAGACCAGGCCGAGTCAACGAAACAGCAGGGGGCCACGATTATCACAATGATCGCCGAGCTGGAAGCCAGCATAGCACAGTACAAGGACGAGTATGCTGTACTCATTAGTCAGACCCAAGCGATCAAGTCCGAAATGGAAAAGGTTCAGTCAAAGGTCGATCGAAGCATGACGCTGCTCGGAAGCTTGTCGTCAGAGAAGGAGAGATGGGAGACGGGTAGCCAGGCGTTCGACGTCGAGATGGGCACCATTGTTGGGGATGTCCTACTCTCTGCCGCCTTCCTCGCATACGCTGGATTCTTTGATCAGCACTATCGAGAAGTTATGTGGCAGGAGTGGTCACAGCACCTTGCGGATGCCGGTATCAAATTCAAGGCTGAACTCTCTCTCCCAGAGTACCTCTCAACCGCGGATGATCGCCTGCACTGGCAATCAAGGGCTTTGCCCTCTGACAACCTGTGCACCGAGAACGCTATCATGCTCAAGAGGTTCAACCGCTACCCTCTGATTATTGATCCCACTGGTCAAGCGACAACTTTCCTTCTGAACGAATATAAGGATAGGAAGATCGCGGTCACGAGCTTCTTGGACGAGGCATTTCTCAAAGTCTTGGAGAGCGCTTTACGTTTCGGAAACCCAATCTTAATCCAGGACGTGGAACGACTCGACCCAATCCTTAACGCTGTCTTGAATAATGAGATCCGACGAACCGGCGGGCGAGTGCTTATTCGACTTGGCAATCAAGACATCGATTTCTCGCCGTCCTTCATGATGTTCCTCTCGACGCGAGACCCGTCGGTCGAGTTCTCACCTGACATCTGCAGTCGTGTCACATTCGTCAACTTCACCATGACACGCAGCAGTCTTCAGAGCCAGTCACTCGATCAGGTATTGAAAGCCGAAAGGCCGGACACGGATCGCCGGCGTACGGATCTGATGAAGGTTCAGGGAGAGTTCAGAGTCAGATTACGCACGTTAGAGAAGCTCCTACTCCAGGCTCTCAACGACTCGACGGGCAATATCCTCGACGATGACAAGGTCATCGACACGCTAGAGACACTAAAGAAAGAAGCTGCCGATATCTCCAGAAAGGTTGATGAGACCGACGTTGTCATGCGAGAGGTGGAGCAGGTGACAGCGGAGTATCTCCCTCTTGCACAAGCCTGCAGCGCCGTCTTCTTCGTCCTAGAGCAACTCAATCTCATTAGTCACTTCTATCAGTTTTCGCTGCGATTCTTCCTTGACATCTTCGACTATGTCCTTCACCGAAACCCTGATTTACGAGGCGTCAAAGACTACCACGATCGCCTGCAGATCCTTCTCCGAGACCTCTTCCTCAATGTCTACCGCAGGACGTCACGGGCCTTGGCCCATAGTGACCATCTCATGCTGGCTGTCCTTCTGGCCCAGATAAAATTGAGGGGAGATGACGACGTCTCAATCGCGGAGGAGGTCGAATTCCTCCTTGAAAGCAGCGAGAGCCCTATCGGCGGCGCGGTCGACTCGGAACAGGTATCTCTTCTGTCGTTTGACCAGCAGCAGCGCTTGAACGCCTATGCCACGCACCCTTTGTTCAAAGACGTGCCTGCTCATCTGTCCGCGAATGAAGCCGAGTGGTCAGAGTTCTTATCGTCGCCGACACCGGAGAGCCGAATTCCTTGGCCTTGGGAAGTCGAGATGCCTGGTGAGTCCCAGATTATTTTGAAGGTGACTTCGCCGCTGACACTAGACTCACGCAGGTATCGTTCGTGCGGCTCGTTCTCTGCTCATTATCAAATGCTTCCGCCCAGATCGACTACTACAGGCTACAGCTCGTTTTGTTCAGGAGGTTTTTGGTGTCGACATGTCTGCCATATCTGCCTACGACCTCAGAGCTATCGTCTCGGACGAGGTGGCTCCAGCAACTCCCCTATCGCTTGTCTCAGTTCCGGGATACGACGCCAGCTACCGCATCGAAAACCTCGTGCGCGATACTAATGCAAGGAGTGTGTCTGTCGCCATGGGTTCACAAGAGGGCTTCACGCTTGCTGAACAGGCAATCGCTAGCGCTGCTCGCCAGGGAAGCTGGGTCCTTCTCAAGAACGTCCATCTCTCCCCATCGTGGCTTAGTACTCTGGAGAAGCGGCTACAGAGTTTAAACCCACATCGTGACTTCAGACTGTTCCTAACCATGGAAGCCAATCCTGTCATCCCCGTCAACATCCTCCGACAGTCACGCATCGTCATGAACGAACCACCGCCGGGAATCAAGGCCAACCTACTTGACTCTCTACGAGGCATCTCACCCGTACGCTTGTCGCAAGGACCTGCAGAGAAGATCCGGTTATACTTCCTCCTGGCTTGGTTCCACGCCATCGTCCAAGAGCGTCTACGATATGTTCCGTTAGGATGGTCCAAGTCATACGACTTCAACGACTCCGACATGGCTTCAGCGTTCGTCACCATCGATGCGTGGCTGACATCTGTCGCACTCGGTCGTGCGAACATCAATCCTACCTCGCTCCCATGGGATGCCATCCGCTCGCTGCTCAAGCAAGCCGTTTATGGAGGAAGGGTAGATAGCGACTTTGATCAAAGGGTGCTGGATGCATTCGTGGATGGCTTATTCACGTCCAAGGCATATAATGTCGACTTCGACCTTGTACCCCAAGGCGACAATAGCCAGGCGCTTGTTGTCCCTGAGGGTACAAAACTGGAACACTTCCTCTCCTGGGTCAACGATTTGCCAGATAAACAGCCACCCTCGTGGCTTAGTCTACCGCCCACTGCTGAACGAGTGATATCGACATCCCAAGGTGAAACACAGTTTATATCTTGTCTGATTTCGAACACATTCTAATTTAGCTTTCGCCAGGCAACGAACTACTGTCAAAACTCAGGAAGACGCGTACCCTGGCGGACGATGAAGATGAGGTTTCCGGACCTGCCATTGCACAAGGTGGTGCAACGCAGCAACCGGCTTGGATGCGCGCTCTTGCGAACAACTGTAAGAATTGGTTGGAAGGTCTACCAAAGGTGCGTTCGCATTATCTTGCGCTGCCAATTGCTTGACGAACGTGGTCTTCGGTCTCGCACAGACGCTCTCGAAACTGCGGACAACAGACATCCAAGACCCGCTACATCGATTCTTCTCTCGTGAAGGTGGCATAGGGCGAAAGCTATTGTCTCAGGTGCAACGTGATCTATCGGACATCATCAAAGTCTGTGCTGGGAGCCTCAAGCAAACGAATCACCTGCGAACCTTGATGAGCTCCCTGACCAAAGGTAGGCCAGTTCCCATAGATTAACTTCCCTGGACCTTGCTGATATTCCTTTACCACAGGCACCATTCCTCAGCACTGGAGTCAATACAAGGTCCGCCGAGGCATGTCAGTCGCTCAGTGGCTACCTAACTTTGCTCTACGACTTGGCCAATTGGAACGCGTCTCGCAACTGATGTCACTGGATGGAGTTGAGGTCTGGTTAGGAGGACTGTTCTTCCCCGAAGCTTATGTCACCGCAACGCGACAAAGTGTGGCTCATCGCAACTCCTGGTCGCTTGAGACCTTGTACCTTCATCTTGATTTAGAGTCATCCAGTACTTCTGCCGGCTTCACAATCGAGGGTAAGTACATCCCTAATACTCCATCTTAGCAATTTCTTACGCTACATTCCTTGCTAGGTCTTGGCTTGGAGGGTGCCTCGTGGTCCGAGCAACAACTGGAAATCAATGATGGTCAATCCATTCGACTTGCGCCATGCCAGATCCGCTGGGTACAGCAGGTGTCCAACGAGGCCTCATCGTTGGTCAACCTGCCTGTCTATCTCAACAGCGATCGGAGTGATGTCCTGTTTACAATCGACTTGCCATTCAAGGGAGGGGCTTCCCGCCTGGCTGCTATGCGCGCAATCTGTTTGACAGCCAGTTGATTTGCTTTCCATGTTACCCGCACGATACTTGTACTCAATCCCTTGCATATCATCGCTTTCTCATATATCCTGCACCATTATACATACCATTACAATAGAACTGACTGGTTTCCGCACTTGCAAGTTTGTTGTACAACATGAGTGACCATAAGGAGATCGTTCCACTGCGCGAGTCGACGAGACAGCTCGTAATTCTAGATATTGAGGAAGAATTCAGGCTTGTCTTGGGATAGCCTATTAATCTCCGTTTCGTTCAACTCGTGGTTGAGTAGTGTAGTGGTTATCACATCGGATTCTGATTTACTGGCTTTGAGCCAACGCCTGGAGTTCCGGTAACCTGGGTTCGACTCCCAGCCCGACCTTCATTTTGCCGTGTGCTCCTTGGTTCTTCATTGATGCAATCAACGCACACAATATGCGATCTTAGCCCCCATCGGTTAGTGCACAATGTGTCCCCTTGATCAAGCCATGCGCCTGAGCGCTAGGGAGAAAATTAGGGTTCATTGTTGCATATCCATATGTATAGTAGATTATGGTGCCTATGCAACTATATGGTAACTGCGCGGGCTCAGTGGCTCAAATATAATAAGACGGGTTAGGGATTCTAGGTGCCATATCACGCCGTCGTTTGACACGGTAGCAGGGCGAAGCGCAACAATGAAGCAGCACACAGGTATCAGAAGAAACTGCTAAAAAGCCCCTGCTGTCGTCTTGGTGTCGGCTGCGCATCCTTACGAAGGTTAACCAGGCTCTGTAGTTGCTTCATGACCTAGATCAATGGTGTGAGTAGCTGAGGGCGGAGACGTGAACTGGGTCATATGTGCCACATACCTCTTCGAGCTTCTCCTTCCTGTCTTGCAGATCAAGATGTCGTCGTATCCCTGGATTTTCCCGCGCAAACTTAACGATCTCGCTACGATCCAGGTCGTACATGAGTCGAGAATCAATCTCGCGAGGGAACTACTCATCATAGCAAAGGTCAAGGAGGTATCCTCAATATCAGAATAATGGAAACTCGCCTGGTAGAAGAATTGGTCGAGAAGCTCAATATTGATAAACATCGCCGAGGTGTATGCAAGCTTGTCGGCAACGACGTTGAGGAAAACTTCAGGACAAAATGTATCGCTTTCCGGGCCAGCTTTACACCGCTTGGATTTGAGGGCAGCTAGACGGAGCTTGAGGATCGTAAGCCTATCGATGTATTGGGCTGCTCGACGGGCTATAACAAAGTACGAGAAGTCAGTATATGTAGTTCATTCGCCAGTCAGCTAGCAGAATGTCGGGGGCTACTCACCGTCTATTACATGAGCAGGATTATAGCGATAGTTGTCTGCAATCGATTTCTCTGCCTCGGGAATTGGCGCAGGAGCTTCCGTATCGTTGTCAATGAGCGACGGAATGGGCACCAGCCTCCTGGCCGCACGTTCCCTCTCTTCATCCTCCAAAGCTTTCACATATCCCAGCAACGACGTCAACTTTCTGTTACCACCCACCCTCTTCTTAATAACCGCGAGCTTGTCTTGGCACGATTCCAACTCCTTCTCAAACAGGACTACAGATTTTTCCCTCCCACTCTCCCATTCCCTGTCGTCGATCTCCACCTCAGTCTTCACCTTATAGGGCTTGATACAGTTCTCGACTTGGTCGGATGTTACGCCAAGGCGTTCCCTAAGGATTGCATGGGAGAACTGGACGATGCGTTCGGCGGCCGAGGGGTGATAGCTGTACGGCTCACCCGTGGCAATCGAGTCGATGAGCGTCCGCAGCCCATCCGCAACCAGGGTGGTGCTATCCCGACCAACGCCCGACTTGGTCAAGAGCGACGATGCGGCTTCGAGCTTGTACTGCCAGTAAGGCTCCAAATCCTCAGCCCGTAGTTTAGGGTTTGCCGCCAGATCTGACAGCTCTGCTGCCCGCTTGTCTGCCCAGTATAGCTGCTCCAATACATCCATGACCTTTTCGTCCAACATGGCCTTGAGCTTTGCTCGAATCTGAGGTTTCTTAAAAGCGGTAGTGAACTCCTTAAATCTAGCCTTCAACGCATCTACAGTTTCGGCAACGTATGATTCAGCGGTAATGCGTCGATCGTTGTACTGCACTTTGAATTGGTAGGAAGCCTCTTCCAGCTCAAACTGGACCGCGTTGGTGATTCCATGAAGAGAAGAAGCCATGCTGGATTCGAGGACGTCCATGAGACGCCGTCGGAGGGTGTCGGTGCCGATCATAATAGAAGTGGAAGAGAACGCGTCCGTGTGAGCGCCGAAGTAACTGTCCTCTTTCCGCCTCACAGCGCCGGATAGACTGTTGGCATCAGAGCGATTTGCTCTCTTCGCTTCCTTGGCATCGTGCTTGCAAACGACACCGACATATCCGAGGTGCAGTGGATATCGGTTGCCTTCAAGGATGGCGGCTCCTGTCTCCGGCGGCACCAAGTCCATCTTCGTCACCACACCGATAGTCCGAAGGCCAAGAGGATCCACCCTTCGACTGGCTCGCAAGGCGGGACTGTTTGCCAGATCGACGTCTGCTGCGCAGACAGCCAGCACGATGTTGGGTTCTCGGATGTATTTGTCACAAAGAGCGCTGATCTTCTCCTTAAGCGTCTCTGGCTGGTCCAGTGAGCTCAGTTGTACGTATCCAGGGAGGTCAATGAGAGTGAGGTCAGGTACATGGGGGCTGTATATCCGTAAGTCGATTGGCGCGTCCGATACACATTCTTCGGCAGGCACGGCTAGATTGAGCTCCGTCAATGTTTGTTGTATGTGTTTGAAGTCTGTTATCTTGCCAAGTCCCAAGGAAGGGAACTCGCCATACTCAGTGGGGGCGTCCGGCGAGTGGATGAGCGTAAGTTCGATCGGTCGCCGAGTGACCATATTATTTCCCCTACGAAAACTCCGTCAGGGGACGACATCGACACATCAGAATCAGAGCTTACTTCGGCAGGAACTCGTGTCCGACGATGGCCTCTAAGACTGAGCTCTTCCCAGAGCTTTGACTCCCAATGACGACGATACTCGGTAACGTTAGGCTGTCACTTTGCCCAACACTGAGCAGTATGCTTCGAATGCCGATAAGCTTCTTAGTGAGATGCATAAGCTCAGAAGGTTTATCCGGTCCATCTGATGTTCGGATCCGTTCGTCACTTGTGGGTTCAGAAGGAGACGACATCGTCGCTGTGATGAGTGCCGCGAGACTAGGACCGCCAGAGCCTCCCCCACTGTCACCCCCTTGCTCCCCTCCCTTCGAGTCCTTTCCGTCTTCTTTACCACTCTCTGATGACGACTGAAACATGTGTCTTAGGAACTCTGGCGTTTCGAAGGTGGGTAATTCTGGCAACTCAATCCCCGCGACTTGGGTGCGTAGCGAATTGAATCGCTCGCCAGCAGCGTCAAACATATCAGCGGCGCCATCCTGAACGTCGGATATCCATGCCGTAGACCGTGTTTTGAACTCTATACCGACCGGGACGAGTGGTATGGTGCAATTAGGCCGTGCCGAGTTGACGCGTCTACGGCAAGAGCAAGAGATGAAGAACGAACCTTCAATCTTATAATTTGCATATCCAAATGCACCAGCTCCGACAGTAGCACCTGCTATAGGCACCCTAAACGCCTTCGCCACGAATCTCGGTAGAGCAGTGTATGAGATGGCTCGTGCATGGACATGACGAAGGGACCTGAGCGCGACTTGCGGTATCCGCGGTCGGAGCAGGCTGGCTGAAGTTGGAGATAAGAATGTAGCCACGGTCCGAGCTTGTTGTGGTGAGAGTGTTTGTGGTTTCGCCGCATTGCGTCGTAGAGTAGACAGCATTTGCGGCACGGCGGCGAGAAGATTGGTGGTGGTCGGGATCAGAAGTTAAATGGCTGGTCTCACGTTCCACCCCCGCTCCTGGACCAAACACTGCTCCTCCTGCATTCAGATTTCCACGAACACTCAGCTCAGTGATGCCCAAGAAGACGGACACCGTCTCGTTACCTTCTGGATGGCCAATGGATATCATTTATATTACTAGCCAAAAATACGCGGCCGAGTTGCCATTCAAGTTGAAGCAGCGGGTTGGAGGGGTGGAGGGTAGCAAGACTGAAGGGTCTAAATCCGCCTGGGTTGCTATACAAGTAATCTCAGCACCATCCCATCCCGCAAACGGCCAACGCGGCCTGTTCGCGACGCGCAAGATCCCCCCAAAGACTCATATCCTCGACTACCTTGGCGAAGTTCATGCTGACGATCGCGATGACTCGGACTACGATCTGTCCCTCCTTCGTCTCAGCACATCCGAGGCTGTATCCATGGGCGTCAGTGACGAGCCCATCAGCATCGGTCTAGATGCTCAGCAAATGGGGAATGAGGCCAGATTCTGCAATGACTACAGGGGAATTGCAGAGAGCCCAAACGCGGAGTTCAAGGATCATCTCGTCGGAGACGAACTGAGGATTGGGGTGTTCAGTGGACCGAAAGGTGTGGGGAAAGGCAAGGAGATTCTCGTGTCGTACGGAAAGGGATGGTGGAAGGCAAGAAACGAGGACTGGGGTGGTGTGTAACTTCACGATTTAGGTATGGTGCAGATTTATGGTTTATTATTCATCGGCGAGACTTGTAGACTACTTGAAACTGAATGAGAGGATAAATCTAGTATTAAATGAGTCAGTAAACTAAAAATGGCGCGCTGATGTTGATGAGTAGCTTACCCTTTATCCGCCACGAGCCCTCTATCTTTCAATAATATCGTATACTACAAAGAAGCAATTGCCATTACAATAGATGTTGTATGTGGGAGTACTTCATAGAGCATACCTTCAATACCCAATGCATTTCAATTGCTTTCAGTCCCTGTTTCCGCCGCTCGTCATAGCTTGGAGGTAAAGGAAGCAGCTTCTGAAACTCGGTCAAGAGTGTCTCGATGCCCTGATATGGTACTGTAAGGCAAGACGCGATGAGTTTTCCATTCTGCTCTGTGCATGCGGTTCGTCCAACCACTAACCGCGATTGTCTGAATGACTTTGCAGTTGAATGCCTTCTGCTTTGGCCAATTTTGCTAAAGGCTCGGGAAGCTCCCGATCGAAGTTGAGCTGATCGATCGTTGGCCTTCGAAGACGAGGGGTCGTCTCAGCGGTTGGGAGCTGGGATAAAAACTGAGACAAATTCCAGCACGAGAAGTCGGACACTCCGATGTTTCGGAGGGATGATTTACGTGAAATGTGCTGGGAGTCAGAGATCCACTGTTACCAGAGAGGTATAACGCAAGTGAATCCACAGTGACACACCTCCCATATCCCGCCCTTGGTCAAGAGTTCGATGTCATCCGCACCAGATCGACATTCTTCATCACCGCCCGCCCATCTAATTCCATCAAATCCGATGA